TTTAAAACACTCCCATCACTCATATTTTCTCTAATTTGGACAGCAGTGGAAGGCACTTCACAAAAAACAGGTTACCCTGGGTAAGTAGGAAGATAATATTGAGGGGTGGGAAATAGAGTTAAATGGAGATGCGTTTGCTGGAAGGAAAAAAGAAAATCCAGAGGAAAGAATGAAAGGCCAAGCGGGGGCCGCTGGCTGGCGGCCTGCGTGGAGGGGCTGCCAGGCCCTGCAGCGTGGCCCCCTGCTGCCCTCCAGGCAAACAAGTCAGGACTCTTCCTGCCACCTACTCCCTTTACCTTGCTCTTGCATTCTCTTCTGCACGTTTGAAACAGCCACACAGCCTCACATAGGGTTCTTTAGAAGATGGTTTTACAGAAAATCCTTGTCACATGGCTCCCCATCTGTTTACTCCTGCAGTTATTCTTGTCTTAAACTTTCTTCCATCTCACTCTCTTGCTCAGTGTCCCCTCTCCTTTTGTCCCTTGAACTAGACCTACAAAGAACCCAAACAGTGATAAAGTAGCTGAGCAGTGGGAACTGGAGCAGAAAATAGAGGCGGAGAGGCCAGGGACCTGACACCTGGTAGGGGCTCCACAAAGATTTGTTGAACAAGTGAGTAAATGGAGCCAGGCTGCCTGGGCCGTAGTCCCAGCCTCTCATATTGGCTAATTCCATAACCTCCCCATGGCTCAGTCTCCTCATCTGTAAACTGGGGAAGATCATGGAACCAATCTTATAGGGTTAAAAATGAAATGAATCAACACTTACAAAGTGTATAAAATAGTCCTGGATCATGGTTAAGTTTTTCAATAAGTTGTAAGCTCTGATTTGCAAGCTCAGAATCAGAACACTTGGGATGTAGACATAATAGACTGTCTCAATAGTTAGAACTAGAAACGTCACCTGTAGATAGGCTGCTTTTCAGGCCCCTGGTTTTGCTTCCCTCAATTCCACCCAAACTGTGTCTGTACCACTGACCCTTCTTTCTTGGCTGAGTTTTTTTCCCGGGTCTTAAGTAACACGAGACACTTCTGGTTCTCCTCCTGTTTCACTAGGGATCTCTTCTTAATTGCCATAGTAAGATCCTTCTCATTTAGTCCACTTTTATTTACATATTTTTAACTTGTCATTTTGGAATAATTATGGAGTCACAGGAAGTTGCCACAGAGTATACAGGGAGGGTCCAGGCACCCTTCACCCACTTTCCTCCAATGGCAACACCTTACGTAACTGTACACTGTCACAGCCAGGAACGTGATATTGACCCAATCTGCAGAGCTTGTTCAGATGTCATCAGATTCTGGGCCCCTGTGTGTGCATGTGCGTGTGTCTGTGCTTGTGGTTCTGTGCCATTTTGTCACATGTTTAGTTTTGTCTAATCACCACCAGAACTGCCCCATCACCACAAACCTCCCTCGTGCTACCCCTTTGCAGCCACCCTCCCTCCTAAACCCTAAACGCTGACAGTCACTGATCTGTCTTCCATACCTGTGGCTTTGTCATTCAGGACTATTGTACACACGAATGTGTCACCTTCTGGGATTGGTTTTTTTAAATTATTATTTTATTTTTATTCAAGTGTAGTTGATTTACAATTACAAGTTACTTTCAGGTGTACAGCAGAGCAATTCAGTTATATATATATATATATATTCAGATTCTTTTCCATTGTAGCTTATTATAAGAAACTGAATACAGTTCCCTGTGCTATACAGTAGGGTTTTTTTTTAATTCAACATAATTCCCTTGAAAGCCATCCAAGTTGTTGGGTCAATTAATAGTTCATTCCTTTCTACTGCTGTTTTCTGTGGACAGATGTAGCACACTTTGTTTAACCAGTCATCCCTTGAAGGACACTTGGGTCATTTCCAGTTTGGGGCTGTTATGAATAAAACTCCTGTGAACACTCATGTCTCTGTATGAAACTACATATTGTGTGGACATAAGTTTTCATTTCCCTGGATAAATAGATGCCCAGGAGTATGATTGTTGGGTCATATGTTTAGTGCATGTTTAGCTTTTTAAGAAACTGCCAAACAATTTTCCGGGTTGGCTGTACCATTTTTGCACTCCTACCGGTGGTACATGAGTGATCCTGTTTCTCTGCCTTGCCGGCATTGGTGTCATTACTTTTTGATAGCCATCTGGTAAGTGTGTAGTCATATCTCATTGTGGTTTTGATTCACATCCCCTAATGGCTAATGATGTCAGCATCTTTTCATGTACTTATTTGCCATCTGTATGCCGTCTTCGGTGAAATGTCTGTTGACATATTTTGCTCACTTTCTAACAGGATTTTTTTTTTTAACCGTTGAATTTTGAGCATTCTTTATTGAGTCTAGATCTAGACCTTTGTTGGATATGTGGTTTGCAAATATTTTCTTCCAGTTTTAGCTCATCTTTTCTTCCTCTTAACAGGGTATGTTAGTGTCCTATGGCTTCTGTAAAAAATTACCACACACTTGGTGCTTAAAACAACACAAGTTTATTCTCCTGTGGTTCTAGAGGCCAGGAGTCTGCAGTCAGTTTCACTGGGCCAAAACCAGTGTTTCAGCAGGGCTGTGTGTGCCTGGAGGCTCTAGAGGACAATGTGTCTCCTTGCCTTTTCCAGCTTCTAGAGCGACATTCCTTGCTTGCTTCATGGCCCCTTCCTAGGCCAACAGCACAGCATCTTCAGATCTCTCTGCTTCCGTCGTCACATTGCTTTCTGCTTTCTGTGTCACATCTCTCTGCTTCTCTCATGACTGGTGATCGCATTTAGGGCCATCTGAATAATCCAGGATAACTCTCCTATCTCAAGATCCTCAGTAGATATCTGTAGAACGAATAAATGACTTGTCTCTCTCGTGCACCTGGGGCTATGTAATCCTCAACTGGCTTTAGACTTCATTCTCTGTGTGATGCTTGCCCTAACTGCACTGTTATCGGCCATCCCCACCCTCCCCAGCTGTCAGTCCTGCTCCTGGCTCTCCTTTCTCTAGGAGCCTGTGGTACGTTTGTATATTTATTTGTCTGTATTCAGCAAACCTTGGAACTCTTCAGTCTTTCAGATTTTGCATAAACTGGATATGCTTTAACCAGTTTTACAGAACTGGGACAGAACTAGCCTGTGGGTAACTCATGACACGGTTCTGAAGACTGCAGTCCTGTTGCTTCAGATACTGTCTCCTTGCATCTCCCCACACCCCGGCTCTATCCCAGGGCTCCCGGGGCGGGGGAAGATGTACAATGTGCTCCCACTACGTGCCTCTCCTTTCACTACTGTTGGCGAATGAGCATGCTTGAAGCAGCGGAGGAACCCATGCGACCATTATGACAGGAAGTTACTGCTACTATCAGTGGTGTAGCTGGGAGTAAGAGGCCAGTGCAGGAGACAGAACACACTTGCTTTCAGCATCGCCTTCAACTTTGCACTCTGTGCCCTATGGTGTGTGTGAATACCTACGCTTAAATAGGGATCTAGTCTTCCCAGGTTATCTTCGGCCTGCCAAAGCAGGAAATTCTATACCTTTCTAGAAACAGCTGTACTTGGGTTCTTTTAACTGAAGTGAGGTGGAAATGATTGTATACTAGTCCAAGGGCTGTGCCCTTTTAAAATTCCCTCTCACCTGCAGTATCAGGGCGTCCCAGAGATAACATGCCTGTTCTGCTCTCCTCCTGAAGAAGTATCCTCTGGCTGGCCTGGGCCCCCAAGCTGCGGGGGTTCACTCAGCCCTAAGGCTGGAAGACAGCTGGACAGCGGGGGGTGGAGGGGAGACTTTGCGAATGCAATCCCTGGTGTGCTGTTCCCGGGATGGTGGTGGGGGACTTGTTCCTAAACTTATCTTCCTCAGTTGTGTTTTTCAGTTGAGGTGTACTTTACATACAGTGAAATGGACAGGTCTTAAATGTATCGTTTATTCAGTTTTCAGTGACGTCACTCACATCCCTATCAAGGTAAAGTTGTCACCACCTCAGAAAATTTCCTTGTGTCCCTTTCTGATCAATCTACGTGTCCTCTTGCATGAAGCAGCCACTGCCCCAATTTCTATCATTGTGGTTTGGTTTAGTCTGTTCTAGCTCATCAAGTGAAAGGAGTCATCGTGTGTGTGTGTGTGTGTGTGTGTGTGTGTGTGTGTGTGTGAGAGTGACTGCTTTTACCTAGGTGTCTGAGATTCTCCTGTGGTGTTGTGTGTATCTGCAGTTTGTTTCTTTGTATTGTGGCGTAGTATTCCACTGTGTGAATATGGCACGACTTGATGATCCATTGCTTTGCTGATGGACACCTGTGCCGTGTCCAGATTTTGGCTATTGTGAATCAAGCTATCATGAACATTCTTTTACAAGTCTTTTTTTTTTTTTTTGGTGGATGTATATTCCCTTCTCATAAATAAATATTTAGGAGTAGAATAGGCTGTATGTATGTTTACTTCTTAGAGAAACTTCCAAATTGTTTTCCAAAGTGGTTGTGCCATTTTTGTCTTGGGAACTTTTGTTGTCCACTTACAGCAGAAATTTTGGGCACAGGGAGAGATCTAGTCTGGTCATCTTTATGCTATTGGAACTCTAGAGGATATTTTCTGTTATTTTTAAAGAAACCAAAAATTAAGCAAGAAGAATTTCAGTGAGGGAAGAATTTTAATGAAGTATTTATAAATGTTATTTATTCTTCTACCTCTTTGCAAATGTATATACTATCTCCAAAAAGGTGCATAGACACCGGCAATTTAAGAACAAAAGCCAAGAGCAGTCTTTTGGTCACTGCTGCTTCCGATGAGAAGAAAAAAATCAGGGGGTTCGGGACCTGTGAAGGGGATTTGTTCTTGAGTCTCCTTTAATATGGACACAGCAGAAAACAAAGGCACTGATGCTGGAGTGTGTTTGAGAAAGGGAAGGCTGAGCCACATTTCTTTGCTCCGGTGTTTTTATCTGTGGACGCAGCTCAGTCTGCATCTCTTTCTGTCCTGTCATCTTTTCAAGTATTGAACATTGCATCTTAGATTTTCCACTTTGCCTTTCAGGCCAGAGAAGCCCTAGAAAATATCGAAGTTCCTGTTGGTTGCCTTATGGTCTTCAACAATGAAGTTGTGGGGAAGGGAAGAAATGAAGTTAACCAAACCAAAAATGTATGTGAGTCGAACAGTATAATTGCAAACATGTGGCAGTGATGGTGGGCATGGAGGGAGTTTATTGTAGTTGGCGAGAAGAGGGGTCTCTTTAGAGTCCCATAAGTATCAATGGAAAGATAGTTACTCTAAGCATCTCTTGTTTTGAATGCCTTTTTTTCCTGATTATAGAAGTGATACATGTTGATTTTTAAAAATTTGGGTAATTCAGAAAAATTTAATGAAGCAATAAATTCTTCAGGTCTGATTTTCTGTTTTATGGAATTTTACCTTAACACTTAAGTGGAACCCAAGAGAGGATTTTATCACATCAAAGTGTCCATATGGGAGAAAGGAGTTTATCTCCATCTTAAGCAAATCCAATGTATGAACATTCTACTTTACAAGACACATCAATTTAATGCATATCATATTCCTTAGTGCCTTTAAATAATGTGCTCCTTCTAGCAAATTAAAAAGATCACACTCAGTTGATAACTTTGGAGGTATAAAAGGACTGTACAAAGGAAGCTGTTCCTGTATCATGTGATTCAGTGAAACACAGTCTCCACCACCGGCTGTCTTTGTACCTCCACGTACACTTTAACAGTTCATGTGATTTTTATGGTGGGTAGGTTGAGAAGTTCATAAATCAAGGTAACACCTCCTGAACATGGTATCACAGCACTGTGACACAGTAAGTGTAAATGAAGTATCAAGTTTTAGGATTATAAGAAGTGCTAGGTGGACTCAAGGATAGCTTACAACTGTAGCACCACTTGGATGGACTTTGATCTTGCTTGGGAGCCAGGAAACATGCTGGTGTTGGTACTGGGGCTAAGAGGACTTTTAAGTTCATTACATCTATCAGAGACAAAACTGAGATTTAGTGCACAAGCAAAGTAGGGACCCATATTCACGAAGCGATTGTTATGTGGATATCAAAATGCCTGTGAGATAAGTAATGAACCATCATGCAGTGATTAGTGGATAAACAGATACTGATTTGGGAGTGGAATTCTGTATTTTATATCCTTATTTGTATTTTGTGGTTCAGTACGATGTTTTTTAACATGAGAACACTGAATGTCCTGTCAACGTCCACCTAAACCCCCAGTGACCTGGGTTTCTTCCATACCTTGAAATTAACCTGCATTATTTTTACTATTCTGCATTCTATAGAAGATTACCCTAGAATCACAGTATGGGAAGACTCTTGACCCAAAATAGGGAGGCCTGAGTCCTACTTCTGGCTCTGATACCATCACCCCCGTGACCACCACCATCACCTCTCCCAGCTGTGTGTCTTTAGTACCTCCTAATTTAGCTTAGCTTCTGGTTCTTCAGCAAGTAAAAGACAGAGTTGATTGAGATGATTTAGGCCAACAATTATTTATTGAGAACTGTGGAAAGATTTGATTCAGTAATTCTGAATCTGATTTTTAAAAAGCATCCACTTTGGGGAAACTTTAGCCACTGTGCCAGCACCTTGCACACCCTGCCCTATGTCACAGGTAAATGAACACCTTTCTGTTTGCCCCACCAAATTTTATGCTTGTGGAGGACAGAGACTTTTTATCCCACAAAGAGTTTAGCACAGGGAGAGGGTATAGCTCAAGTGGTAGAGCACATGCCTAACATGCATGAGGCCCTGGGTTCAATCCCCAGTACCTCCATTAAAAATAATTAAATCAATAAACCTAGTTACCTCCAACATGCACCCCCCCCAAAAAAAAACCTTAAAAAAAAAAGAGTTTAGCACAGAGGCTTGTACCTAGTTGACACTTGGTGTAAGTTTGTTGATAAATGTGATTATCATGAGTGTTACAAGTAATTATCACATAGCAGAGCACATATATAGCATTATGTGGCACTGTGGTTCATGTAATTCAGGTCACTTTATGAGATGTGGCTACCAGTATACCCTGTTTTACTTAATGGGGAGACCAAGGCTTAGAGAAGCTGTGTACCTTGCCCAAGGCCATATGATTAGGAATGTCACAGTCAGGATTTAGATTGAAGTGGGGTTGATTCCAAATGCTGTGTGATTTCCCCTGTACTCTACTATTCCCAGGAGGTATCTGAGACTGAAACCGAATCTCTGCTTCTCTCTAGAGTCTGCCAGTACATAAAATCTCATCCCAAAGAAAGTCTAAGTGATGACATTCCCTTGATGACATTCTAAATATAGATTTGCTTAGAGTGAGGTCAGTGACAGCCTTGAAAACATATTTGAAACTGGAGCACATGCTTCTGAAAATTTTAAGCTTCCTCTTAAAAATTCAGAAACCATAGACACATCTCTTTTTTTTTTGAGACTTATCTCTCTATGGCATTTTAATTGAAAGAGTGTTTCCTAAAGTACCTTAGGTACTTAACTAAAAATACCGCATAATTCGTGTGGCATCTCAGATTAGGTATCTCTTGTTGGCAAGGTACTTGAAGTGGGAAATAACATTGTCAACTGCTAAGGGTGTCCTGAAACCTTTGTTTGCTAAAACATTGGCAGAAACGGTAGGCTCATTTTTCATATTTTTTAAAAGAATATTTTATTTATTATTATATTATTTACATGATTTTATTTTGGTGGTGGGGGAGGTAGCTAGGTTTATTTATTTTTAGAGGAAGTTCTGCGGATTGAGCCTGGGACATTGTGCATGCTAAGCATGCACTCTACCACTTGAGCTATACCCTCTCCCCTGTATTTATTTTTGAATATTTGTGAAATACAGTTACATGTAGCAAATAGGGTCAGTGCAAGCACCTCTCTTTTCAGGCAACTCGACATGCAGAAATGGTGGCCATCGACCAGGCCCTAGATTGGTGCCGTCGCAGTGGCAAGAACTCTTCCGAAGTGTTTGAGCGCACTGTGTTGTACGTCACCGTGGAGCCGTGTATCATGTGTGCAGCTGCCCTCCGCCTGATCAGTATCCTTGGACTTCGTGGGTTGATGTCTTGTACTCTTCCTGTGAACTCGAAAATGGCCAGACACGTAACCTATTTCTACTATGTGAAAACAGAGATTTATGAACCAAATGATAGGAGATACATGTTACAAAATATAGTACCTCTTGGCCAGAAAATTTTTAGGGAAGATTTTTGAATAATAAAATTACCTCTTTGTTAATATCCATAAACATATAACTATTAAATATCCTAGAGCAAGAAAAAGCTTAGAATTGACTTAAACTGTCATGTAAAGATAAACCAGAAATTAAAGTTGATTGTAAAGCAGTGTGCATAGGAAAAGATCTAAAGGATACACACCTGTTTTGCTTTGGGTAAGTGATCAGAGGTGATTTAAAATTTTTCTTTCTCTGTTTATATGTTTTTATTGGGTTTTTTTTTGCCATGAATACCTATTACATAGGATGTATGAAAAATTTTAAGTCATAAGTAAATACAAAGTAAAAAACAAATCATTTATGATATTATAATTGTAAATGAATGGGAGACTGATAAATTACAGCACTTTGACTTGTGTCTTTCACAGAGTGACACAAAAACTGAGTGCAGCAAGTTAGCCTCTACAGATCTTTTAAAAAATTATTTGGTAATTCAACGACTCGCTTCCATACCTGCATATTTTTATGTACTTATTTTGCTCTGTATGTGAATCATTTCATCACTTTAAAAATAATAGAGGGTTTTGAGTATGATCAAGTGCACAATTCCCACTTGATAAGCTCTGCCCGTCCTGCCTTAGAGAGTGGCTCTGGTGTAGTCTGCTTTATGCTGGACCACAGGTTATATTTTATTTGAAGAGAGAACAAGGGGAAATCTGTTTTTAAGAGGTAAAAATCCCTGGACTAAATTTTTGCCTCCTTTCTGGCTCCAATTCTCTAATGATTAAAAAAAAAAGTCATTTAGGAAAGACCAGAGAGAGCACCACGCTGTGGACATTTAGCAACTGCTCGTTCAGTTTCTATTCCATTTGCATTTGTGGGACAGTAATGTCTAAATCCTCTAAACCTCTTTCTTTTGTGTAACTGGATTATATGACTTTTTTTTGGAGGGGAGGTAATTAGGTTTATTTACTTATTAATTTTTTTAATGGAGCTGCTGGCGATTGAACCCAGGACCTCGTACAAGCTAATCACACGCTGTACCACTGAGCTACACCCTCCCTCCCCTGGACTGTATGACTTTTAAAACTAAGCGCAAATGTTAATTGTTTTTAAGAGTGGCATGAGCTTTCTTCTCCAGGATGACTGATATAAAACCACTCTAGTTTTGTCACGATATGCACTTGAACCTCACATTCCCTGCAGGACCTTAATTCTTTCTCAGAAATCCCGCTGGTTGTCTACGGCTGTCAGAATGAACGATTCGGTGGCTGTGGCTCAGTGCTAGACATTGCCTCTGCTGATTTACCGAATACTGGGAGGCCGTTTCGGGTAACATGAACCGTGATGCCTTTTCTTTCTTTCTCATTACGTTGGTCCCATCGTGGGCTTGCACGTAGTCAGCGTGTGGTCAGTAAACCAGGAAGCCACGCTGGAACCAGATGGGCTCTCGGGGCCTCTGGTCGAGTTCACTGATACCCAGTGTAAGATAGGCGATCGTTTCCAGGTGAGTGCCTCGCTCTCTTAATTAACAGGATCCCTCCAGAAGGAGAGTCCCAGCCTTCCGAGGATTCTTCTGATGGTTTCTTCACCTTCCGCCGTGTTTGAGGACATTTCCGGGGTGGGCGTTCTCCCTCCACGCGTGTTCCCGGCTGCATGCTGCCCCAAGCTTGTGCGAAGCTCAGCCCGTGTCAGCGACAGTAGATGCGATGACAGTGAACGCACAGTATTTTTGCACTAAGTCAGTCATTTTGCTTGATCGCCCCGTGTTATTTTTGGTGACTAGCAATCAATCCCTGTGTTTTCATTATTTTTCTTTCCCCTACCATTTTAATGTTGAAATTTACCCCAAACCCAAGAATCCGCTTAGAAATTCTACTTATCCTTTAACCTCACCACTTCTCCCAAAGTTCTTATGTTTAAGGCTATGAGCGGTAGGAATTTACATGTCAGAGTTCAGTTTGTGGACAAATACCAGTTTCCATAAACTGGTTTCATTGTTTTTCTCTCCAAGATGTAAGGTTAATCCTTAAAGTATCAAGCTTTGAGAAGAAGAGTACTTAACAAACTCTGGACATAATGGGCAGTTAACTTCAAAGACCTCAGATACTCTTAGGAGAATATTAAGTACCTGTGAAGGGCTAAATTGGGCTGAATCCCACTGAGTATACGTTTTGAAAAACATTCTATTTTGAGTTTTCCCAGCTGAACATTGGCTCTCCTAACAACTCCTGTACTTTTGAAAATAGATGGCTTTTAGCATCACGTCAGAAAAGAAATTGTATTAGAATGATGGAGAGTAAGCAACATGATTAGCTTGATCATTAAAAAATGTCTGTAAAGTGATTTTTTCCTGACACTTCTGTTAGTGGCTCAGATTTTGCTTACCTAACTCCTCACCAGTGAATTGCTAACTCTGTACTTCATATATGAGAAAGGTCTAAAGAGTTTCTCAAAGATTCTGGGCAGAACAAAGATGAGCCCTTGGATATCAGACACGGGTGGAACTTTCCTCTCCAACACTCCAGAGACGTTGAGTGCACAAAGACAGTCCTTTCCTGCACATCCCTGCACAGAATTAATCTGGCTGAACCAAAAGATAAGTTCATTTGCAGCGTGTCGACCTGGCCAGATTGGCTCCATCAAAATAAATGGCCACAGTTTGAAGCCACATCCCTAGGCTTGATGTTAAATTATGTTTTTTCAGAGTATATTGAGATTCTAAAGAAACCATTGCTACCCCGCCTTCTAGATACTGCATGTTTTTCCCTTTTATGTGGTTGGGCTGGGTGTGGGGGGTGTTTATGGGAGATGGGATGCTGGTTTTGTATTGCAGAACTATAGACTTTTAAAATACTGTATTATAAGCAGCATTAAAATTCATAGAGACCCACAGAACTATTCTTTTCAAAGAAGATGGTGATTATAATACCTACCTGCTCCCTTTAAAAAATATATTTTAATAAGAATACGTGCCTTTTATTAAAGCCACAAATTTGTAGCTATAATAGATGCTTGAAAAGATTATCTTGGTATCTTAGAGGGCTCCAGTTTCCTTCTCCACCTGTAACTCAGTGGGTCTGGCCCCTGACTTGCACATTAGAACCACCTGGAGAGCTTTGAGGCGTGCCTGTGCTCGGTCCCCACCCCTGACAGAATCAGAAGCCTTGGGGGGAGGGGGAACAGGGGTATTGTTTTATAGAGCTCCCAAGTGACTACTGAGCAGCGAGAGGAGAGCCCCGGGGACAGGAACAGTGAACACAGCAGAAAGAGAGAGGGACTGACCGATGACGGTTGGAAGATGAAGTCCTGAGATGCCAAGGGAGGAGAGAGTTCTAAAAAGAAGCAAGTATGGTCAGCGGTTGCCACGACTGCAGAGTTGAGGGTGAAAAGAGCAGTGTTTTGTCACTAGGGGCTCTTGAGGCATCTCAGGGCAGTTTCAGTGGAGTTCTGGGAGCACAAGCCAGGGAGGATGAGGTTGAGGAGGAACTGAGAGCTGAAAAAGTAATGGCCACGATTCTGGAATGTTCCCAGGATCAGGCTGGCAGCTCACCTGGGGGGCAGGGTAGAAGGAAGGTTATTGGGTTTTTTTTCCGCCAGCTTTATTGAGATATAATTGACATACAACACTGTATAAGCTTTAAGTGTATAATGTGATGATTTGATACTGGTATATATTGTGAAATGTTTACCACAATGTTAGTTAACACATCCTTCACTGTACATAATTACCATTTTGTTGTTACGTTATCGTGAGAACATTTATGCTCCACTCTCATAGCAACCTCCAAGTAGACAATACAGTATTGTTAACTGTAGTCACCATGCTGTTCCTGTGTCCCTGGAACTTAACTCCTTTTATAACTGAAAGTTTGTGCCCTTTGACCAGAGTCTCCCCATTTGCCCCACCCCCTCCGCCTCTGGCAATCACTGTTCTACTCTCTGCTTCCGAAGAAAAAATACGTATTGTGTTATCCATATGAATATTATTCAGCCACAAAAAAGAAGGAAATCTGCTATTTTCAACAACATGGTTGGGCCTCGAGGGTATTATAGGAAGGGAGATAAGTCAAACAGAGAAAGACAAATGCTGTATGATCTAACTTACACGTGGAATCCAAAAACGTCGAACTTGTAGGTTATTTGTTTTGATGGAGATGTTTAATGTGGGCTTTGCAGGCCTAAGAAAGAGCCGACTGAAGGCACAGGAGAAAGGGAGGCTCACCCGGAGAGTGGACCACGCTCCCAGGCCCTGCGCTGGCTCTGTTTTCTCCTGGGTGCTGCTTCCGGATGGCAGATTCCCTGGAATCGCCATTCATGACATCACTTCACACACTTCCAAAGAGCGCAGCGTTGTCCCAACTCCCGTGACAAGCCTGCAAAGCCCTGTACATTTTGACTTCGTTTTATTGCTTTTCTTTCTTTGCTTATACCCCCTTAATAGTCACCGCCACCTCCGTCAGCTGGTCTCACACACGACCTACTTATACTTACTCTTTCCCTGACATGATCTGCTCAGTCTCCTTACATATTCTCTATCGTTAAGGCAAGTTTAAGTTTCATCTCCTTACCATTATCACAATTATTCTTTCACATGTCGATCTCCTCTTGAGTTATATACCAAAGACAGAACAAACTGAATGTGTCAAGAAAGTCCTCTGTAGTAAGGATTGACTGATGTTTTCTGTAAAGAGCCTGATAGTAAATATTTTAGCCTTTGTGAGCCACTTATGTCTCTACCATGTATTTTTTTAACCCTTTAAAAATATAAAAATCATTCTTAACTGACCACTTTTAGCTGTGGACTGCCAACCCTCGCTCTACAGAATCAGACACTTAATGCACCACCAGTAAATAACAGCAGATAAAAATAGCTTAATGCTTAATGAGCATCTGTGATATGCTAGGTATTTATCAGGGGTTATTTTACTTAATCTCATTTGATATAAAGAAAATCCTTAGGGGTTGATTGCTAGAATTATCTTTATCTTACCTATGAGGGAACTGAGGCATAGAAAGCTTGTCTTGCCCAAGATCACATAGCTAGTAAGTTGTGCTATGATCATGTAGTAGTTGATAGAGAAATAATAATTAGTTGATTGAGAGTGAGGTTTAATTGAGGCTGTACGCCTTATGTTTTTGGAAATATACTTATCCATGTTACTAATGCCCACGAGATGTATTCACGTTATCTGAAACGTGTTTTCATAATTATGTATATATTGCTGTTTTTATGGATACAATGCATTTTCACAGACCTATGTTCATTCTCAACTTTCTCATTTCATCAGTGCATTCCTGGCTATCGGGCTGAGGAAGCAGTGGAAATGTTAAAGACCTTCTACAAACAAGAAAATCCAAATGGTGAGTTTTCCCCTACTGTCTATAACGTCCTTCACTTACAACAAACCAGTATGAAGAGAGTCTGCATGGGACTGCCTCTTCACTTTCTCTTTCTCTTTTCTGTTCTTTTCCCAGCACCAAAATCAAAGGTTCGGAAAAAGGAATGTCAGAAATCCTAAACTTGTTCTAACGAAAGGCTCATGCCCCCGGATGACAGTCTTGGACTGAAAGCTCTTGACATCGTTAAATCATATATTTCTATATTGCCCTTGACCCGTGGGAAAATCGTGTCTTATCATTTGCTTTGCTAAGGGAACAAATTAGCACTTCTAAAAAAGTCCGACAGTTGTAAACGACTCTTAGCTTTTCCACAAGCTGGAAGAACATTTTAGGAAGGGGAAAAAGTAGTGAAGATTGAGGTTTTGTAAATTAGTAAGCAGTACATGCTCTTCCTGCCAAAATAATTATGCTCAGTCCAGGGAAGTGCTGACTTTCAGAGGATGTGCCCAGACTCGGTTACCTGACGTGTCTGGCCTGGAGTGTGCCACCCTGCGGACACCTGCTCCAGACCTGGCCTTTCAGACTCGGACTCTTCATTCTTTGCAGCCACTGTGTTCTCCCAGGGGGGCCTGTGACTGCCTTGGAAATTGTATCTGAATCGTATGCATATAGACCATGATTATGTGGTCCTTAGAACAGATTTTTGCTTTTATAAAGCATTTAGAGAAAATAGATACTTTTAAAACAAGTGCTTAAGTATCATTTTAAAATTACAGCACTTGCTATCACGAAACCTTATTTATGCCTTCTTTGAAGATGAACAGTCTTAAAAATAAAAGCGCATAAATGGAACAATTCCTTCTCTGTTACTGAGCAGCTGTATTGTGCTGGGCTCCGTTTATTTACTGAATCAATGAGCAAAACAAAGAGTTCTGCCCTCATGGAGCTCCTTTTCTAGCAGGAGGAGACAGACAGTGAACCCAGCAGATTCCACAGTACGTTAGAGGGTGATAAGAGTCATGGCAAAAAGGCAAAGACCTGGGTAGAGATGGGTGTGCCATTTGGCAGTGGGAAAATGCTGGTTGCAGAATTGAATGATTAGTTTAATCTGAAATTAAACAGTTATATCTTTTTATAAAACTCCAGATTTAGAATTTAAAATGTTGAAGTGTGCACACCACCCTGGAAAGGGTATCCGCAGCAGGAAGTTCCAGATATTCAGGCTCCCTGACTGAAGGGTGGCCTCTGATGAACTGAAGCTTTGCAGAGCCTTGCTGGGATGCTCCGCGTCTGCCCAGAAGGGGGCCTCGCCGTTCCACCAGAAGCCCAGCTCCTCAGTTGCATTTCTTCAGTGGATTCATTTCCTTGATGCAAAGCATCTGTATTTGTTGGTTCTGCCATTTGAGCAATGTCTCTGACTTGTTTGTTTTGAATTACATTACAGGCTGGAATGTAATTGTGGTGAAAGTATTTTTATATTGCCGAGGGTAGCAGCTAATCACAGTTATATGCTTCAGAGGATTTATAATTGCTTGGTTTGGTACGTGTGTTTTCTGACTGCATTTGAGAAGTTTTATGGAGAAGAATATACATGATTTTAAATCTATAATAATGTTATATGTACCTTCTCTTCAATTTCACCTACTTTAAAAATGATCTCATTAAATTTTAGTGCTTTGACTAGTTTATTCCTTTTTGCAGTTGTTCATAATTCATTTCTGCTCCTTATGCTTTTCTGCAGGCAGATTTCACTGCACTTTATTGTCTTCATGTCATTTTCTCAGGGATTATTTGTAGACAGAAGACCTGGAAACTTTTTCTGGAGAGTACCACCCAGTAAGTCCAGCCAAGCATCTTCTGTCAAGTAGGTTCTCGGTAAACACTTGTTGAAAAAATACTTACTGAAATTCAGGGGAAAATGAAGAATAAGGAGATTATGTGGGATAAAAAGCCAATGCCAAAAATAGTATCTGGGTATTTAAACTCAGAGATGATCACTACTAAAAGGATCAAGGAAATAATAAAACTATAAAGAGGGAAGGATAGAAAAGACTTACCAATATACCTATGTTCTGTCTTTGCTGTGTTTTGGAGAATGGACAAGAATTCTGAATTCCTAAGCATGGCTGAAAATTATTTTTTTGATTCTCTCCCCAGTGATTGACTTGCAGAACAGTCTCTCCTAAATTTTTGGTCTTAGGCATGGTCTTCAGCTCTGTTGCTTTGGGGAACAGTTTGGATGGAGTACTGAAGATTGGAGGTCAGCGTCTCCCGCACTGATCCACGACCATTGTGGGGTCACGGACATGAAGGCTGTGGGATCTTGACAGCAGTTAAGAAGTGGTGGTAAAGGGCTGAAGCTATATTATATGATGAGGTGATCTTGCTTCCTGAGTCATTCTCAAGCTACCTAGACATGGCTTAAAATATTAAGATGCTCCAGATCGAAAAGATTGAATCCAAATGATTGATACTGGGGGAGCGTGTCTAAGAGACCAGCTGAGAGGCTTGTTTAGTGTGAGGTGATTCTGCAAGTTGTAGGATGTGCAAAGGTTTTAGAATCACAGCCTTGTTTAGAGAAATTAATGGGAAATGATTGCATCTAAGTTGCTGGAGTATCCAGTGTTTACTGGTGTATACATTGGACTCTGCTGAGGATGGATGGTGTGTAGTGCTTTGGCAGGCTTCAATCACCGATAAAAGATCATGTTAACATATCTTTGTGCTTTCTTGTGACTTGGCACAAGCGTCCCTTCCTGTGTTGTGCTTGGAATATCATGGAGAGAAAGTAGATAGCCAAGAACTCCAGTGTAGGCAAGAACTGTTCATTTTTCTTTAAATTCTATTTGGAAATAATTTCAAACTTAGGGAAAAAAAGTTGCAAAAATACCCACACATCCCTTATTCTTTAAACCTATTAATATTTTATATCTTTAGCTTTATCAGTTGATCTGTATTATTGTCTCTAAAAAATATTTTTCTGTAAGTTATATATCTCTTACATTCTTAATTCATATATAATCACAGTATAGTTATCGACTTAAGTAAATTTAACATTGATATAATACTTCTATCTAATATACCATTTGTATTCCAATTTTGACAGTTGACCCTATAACATGCTTTAGAGAACCCCTCCCATAATATCAGATCCATTCTAAGGTCAGATATTGCCTTTGATTGTCATATATCTGTAGCTTCTTTTATTCTGGAACATTTCCACAGCTTTTCCTTGTCTTTTGTGACATTGTCATTTTTAAAATAATACAGTCCTTCTGCACCACCTCCTTTTTCTTTTTTTATAACAGTGTTTCCTCGTAATTAGATTTAGGTTATGCTTTCTAGGTGATGTTCTATTCTCAGAATATCAGACCTGGAGGCACCCAAAGGCCATCTGCCCCTCGCTGGTGATGTTAATTTTGGTCACTTAGTGAAAGTGTTACCTGATTTCTTTGCTATATAATTACCGTTTTTTTTTTTTTTCTCCCTTGCAGTGAATATACAGTCTGGGGAGAGGAACTGTTAGCATTTTAAAAAGAAAATGTATTTAACATAGAAAGGAGGGGAAGAAAATTCATGATATGTATTTCAAAGCAACTGTTACATTATTTGACTGTGTTCTTCTTGTATCATGCCTGCCAAAATTTACAAAATTCTTTTCCTAATATTTTAAATAGGGATGTCTTAAAAATCAAAAGGAAGCCTCAGAAATAAGTTCTCTCCTGATCTTTTCCTCAGCAAAACTAATAATTATATCAATTTAATTATACATCTGAGGTAGAGTTTTGGAAAAATAGGTCTAAGATGTTTCTGGTATCACAGAAGGACTGTTGTGATCCAAGAGGATGTATAACGCTAGGTAGGTAGTTATTTGGCCATAAAATGTGAGTTCTCTTGAGTTTCCATAGAGATATCTAGACTTAAAATGTTTTAAGCACTGCTACTTTCAAAATGTGTCTGTAAAAAAAGCAAAAGCCAAGGCTTTAAAAAAATTATTAAGCGTTTTTTTTTTAAATAGTGAGGTTCCTGGTTAAAAACTCCACGTGGAGGCCAGCGTTTGTCCTTCCCAGTCGTTTTGCATCAGCTGGCCTTGAATAGCCCTGGGGAGAAGAGGCATCAGGAACTGCTTTCCCTGCCTTTTGGCTGAGGAACGAGACTACATTGACTTCATCTGTGAAGACAACTGCCAGCTGTTTTCTTACTCTGTAAATTGTTAATTATGTGTGGTGAGGAAAGGGGTGATGGGTGACGTTATCTTTACGGGTGAGACTGGCATAAGTTCTGGTGAAAGTTTGACATCTTTAGGGTCTTATGTCTTTTCAAATTGAGCTAGTAAAAACAGGCTCATGGGATTATTTCTCACCTGATCTTTAAGTGACTGTTGGGCTCCATACCACGTATCCATGACTTACGAGGGAGATTTTGTGGGGTGGTTGAAGAAAAGCTTGAACTTGCCAGTCTGGAGCAGGAGTTGGCAAACCCAGCTTGCTGTCTGGGTACCACTCACAAGTCAACAATAGTTTTACATTTTTGCATGGTTGAAAGAAATCAAAAGGAGATTTTAGTGACCTGTGGACATATGAAATTCAAATTTCAGCGTCCATAAATTAAGTTTCATTGGGACGCAGCCAGGCTCGCTTGTTTTCACATTATCTGGGGCTGCCTCTGTGTTTGAGTAGTGGTGACAGAGACCTGTGGTTCCCACAGTCTAAAATATTCCGTGTCTGGCCCTTTAAGAAAATGTTTGCTGCATCCTTGTCTAGAAAATGTAAAATGTTGAGGCTGGATTTCTAAGGTGCTTATTCAAGTTCTTGACTCTGAAACTGAATCATGTGGTTCATTGTTCAGCTGTGGTGAATTGCTTCAGGACCATGGTTCCTTTTTTAAAGTCGGTTTACACATATGAAAGAGAGATCCAAGACACTAAAATATTTATTCTGGCTTAGAATATTTTGTTTCCTTACATACACTTTCAGAGAGTGGCAAGGGGAAAAGATAATTTACCATTTTATTTGGGTTTAGAATAAACAATACATTTTATTCATGGTCATCATATGAAAATGTTTTCAAGTATTTTTCACTGTTAAGAACAGTTACTGTAATGTCAGAAATCTATTGGACCCTCTTAAAAACCAGGACTCAACAGAAATGATCTCTGAACCATCTCCATCACTGTGCCTTCCCCAGTTTTCTTGGGGATCAGGTTTGGTAATGGTTTGGTACTGGGATCACAATACACGAAGTCTGAGGGAAAGACAAAAACACGTATTAGGTATTTGGTGGTGGTGGGTTTTTTTTTTTTTAACCCAGCGTGGAGTTCAGAACAAAGCCTTATGTGTAATGGACAAATACTATGTCTCAATTCTAACTTGCGTCGTAAAGAAGTATTGGAGGCAAACTTCATGGAGAAGGAGGGACGCCAGTTGTGCCCTGAGAAGCAGGTAGGATTTGGGAAGGCAGGTGAGAGTGAGGGGCAGCAGATGCAGTATTAGAGTAGGGGAAAGGCGGTGATGTGAAGACCCAAACAAGGGATGCTCGGGCCAGGTTGTAGTTAAGATCCTCGACTTATTTCCAAGAAGGAGTCTTTCCATTCCCTTTCTGATGTGAGTGACTTCATACGCATTCCTGGGGTACATGTGGTTTAGGGTAGGGGATTGCCAGGGGCAAAGGTTCTGACCCTACTGTCACCAAGGTAAGGAGACAGGAATCACACATCACTAGGCAAGATTTGTGTCAGTAATGGAAACTGACATTTACATCGCATGTGTGCCAGGCACTATTCATGTGTTACCTCATTAATCCTCATACCCACCCTTGACTCAGTGGTGTTATAATCTCCCTTTTACACCGAGGAAACTGAGGTACGGAGAGGCCAAGTAGCTTGCCCAAGGTCGCAGAACACTAAGTGACCGCGTTTGTCAGAATGGGCTAGTTTGTGCCTTGGAAGCAGCCCTCGCATTTTAGTGGCTTGAAACAAAGGTTTAATTCTCTCATGCTTCCCTTCTTGTACATCTCCGGGCAGGGCAGGGCAGGCCAGGGGCTCAGCCACCATCTGAAATGTCAGCAGTCACTGTGTCAGGGAGGAGATGGCAAGGAGTGCTCTCAGCCTTAGGGCAGGGCTTCCCAAACTCGGGTGTGCACAGTAATCACCGAGGGCTTGTTAAGTGCACATTGTAAATCAGGAGGTCTGGGATGGGCCTGAGATTCTGCGTTTATAGCAGGCTTCCAGGCGATTCCTATACTGCTGGACTTGGGCCATTCGAGTAAAGGAGGGCTTACTGGCTTTTGCCCAGAAGTGACTCATCTCTCCTCATATAGGAATTCAAGTAAGTCACACAGACACACCTGACTTCAGGGTGGCAGGAAATGTAACCCACCATCCACCTTAGGAGGAGGAGAAAGGGAATATTTGTGAACAGCCCTAATGAAGAGCCAAAAACGTGAAGTGGGGATTGGAATTCAGGGGAGCTGTGCCCAGAGTGCGTGCTCTCAGTCATCACTCCGGACGGTCAGAGATGTTGGTCCGTTCGCGGGAGAGAAAGGGCAGCTCGGTGGCGGCAGCCAGGCGGGGTAGCCCTCGAGACCGATCAGTTGCAGTCGACTTGTGTGACAAGTGTCGGGTGTCCCGGGCAGCTTAGTGTCAAAGGCAGCAGTTCTCAACATGGTGACACAACTCTGTGAGATGTTTCAATCCATTTTTTCCTTAATGTGCTAACATCTATGAATTATTTATTTTTGTTCAAAATATACCTTAGAGTAGATTCAAATCTTTCCCTATTCCACTGTCTCTCATTTAATATTCTGCCATCCTGTCTTGTTTAGGAGAAGGGGTGGGGTTCAAGCCAGCATTTAGGGAATCGTGCAGGATCGTGGGAACGCCCATGGGTGTGTGCCCACACCATTCATCATGCGTGTTTGCTGCAGAGGGCTGGATTGCTGTCTGGAGGAGTCCTAGGCTTGTGGTCAGCATAACAAACTCATTGGCCAGCTGATGGTGGCTGAGAAGCAGCTTCTCTGAGCCTGCAGCCTATACCCATACCTGGGACGTGCCGATGCAGTCCTTAAAACTGGAGTGTGGGAGGGAGTGGTGGAGTCCACATTAGAGTCTTTTATATATATATAATATATTATGTATGTATTACATATATAATATATAATATATATATTTTAATTGAAGTATAGTTGGTTTACAGCTGTGTCAATTTCTCGTGTACAGCATAATGCTTCAGTCATACATGAACATACATATATTCATTTTCATATTCTTTTTCACCATAAGTTACTACAAGATATTGAATATAGTCCCCTGTGCTAGTTAGAGTGTTTAAATGGAGAGAAGAGGCTGGGCTTCCTGACAGCACAGCGCTGAGTGACCATCCCACCTCCTTCGACTTTCCAGTGCTTTGCTGTCGGTTCCCAGGCTGAAGCGTAGAGCTATACAGAAGCATCAGTTTAGGCAAAGCCCCAGTTGCCTTATGGAAAACCTGACCTGCAAATGATACTTGAACTGCAGTAAGATTGTTCTTCCTCCATTTAAACAAACAAAACCTCCCAAAAGGGAGATACAGATACATTTCAGTTTTACATAATGGAGATAAGATTTCAGATGTTAGCTAACCACGAGGGAGAAGAAAATGGGCCATGACAGTTTTTCTTCTGGAAAATCAAGTTTGCCATGTTGAAAAATGCTTTCACCCCTGCCCACCTGTTCTGTTGT